ATAATATTATACGCTCACTCAGAAGATAAAATTAGTGGAGTCCATTTTAAATGAGAGAATCAAGGGGTAGTGAAGGGGTTGGGGGGGGGGCAATAGCCCCACTATCACTAGAACAACGCACATAAACATCTCAGCAGTGACGTAAGTTGGTGATCTGGTGTCTAGGCTACCGGTCCAATGTTTGTGAGGTAGCGAGTTCGGGGGCTCAAGCCCCAGGCCTTAATAAGGGAAGGCACTTTACATGAATTTTTCTCACTGCACCCAATTGTGAATGGGTACCCGGCCAAAGACAGCTAAAGATCATGTCTTTCAGTGTATTACATGTGGTGCTCTAGCGCCTGTAAAATGGCTGCTTGTGCTGTGTGTTTCATAGAAAAATAATTGAGATTGACATAATATGATTCTACCAGGTCTGCAGGGGTAATGAATAGATTGTAAAGCGCATAGAGCTTTCTGTTCAGCAGGAATTTGCACTATACAAATGCTACATGTATCTGTTATTAGATGTGAAGCTTATACATGCTCCTTGGTATCGAGTCACGGACTTCTTTTCCCTGGCAGTATGTCTTTGCTGCGACAACAAAGCTAAGAGCGTAGTTTCCGAAATTCCTTTTTTTTTTGTGTCTTTAGTTCAACAACTAAAACAAACCAAAGTTGGTGATTGCTGTAATGTTATTACCCGGGCAGTTGCACATCCTTTCAACGTTCCATGCCATTCAAAACATAAAACATAAGCCTATGCGTATGATGAACTGACTTTATTTCCAGGACCTGTGCTTTAAAAAAAAGATAGAGTTGATGTTCTTTTCTTTTCTTGTCAACGCAAGCTGCCGACATGTACTTGTAATAGTAATATGGAGCTCTGTCTTTTCTCCGGAAGGCTTGTTTAGTACGTTTGTGTTTAAAGAAAGGCGCATCTGCCCTCTTACCATCAGCTAATGAACTGGAAAAATAAAACTGACTGACAAGAACAATATGGGTATTCAAAAGAAGTAGGCGATATCACCGGCAGTGGTACATGTACTTGACGTATTAGTTGCGCCTTCTGGCGGCCCTTCAGGATCGGCTTGTAAGTCAGCCAGGCGTAGGATGATAGTACCACACGCGAGACATCAGCTCTCCCGTCACGCTCCATTGAGTATGTCAGACACACGCCACACGCAGACAAGAACCTGCTCTAACGGCCACCTGTATAAGACAATCACCTGTAGAAACGGCATTTCCCCTTGCGGTTTTAAATATTTGTTTTTAACATTATAACGACAGTGTGTAAGACGGCCAAATACTTATATGGCAGTCATTTTGCTCCTCTATAATGGGTGGTCATCTTAGGCAACTTCGACTTCTATAGTACCCACAGTGTTTTCTTTCTTTTTTTTTTACAATTATCACTCCTTGACCTGTAACGTACACCTTAACTTCACTATTATTCAATAAAAACCTGTAACGAGCTGCGTACATGGTCCAGGACTCACATAGACTACTGAAGGCATTTAATTCAATAAGGTGTGTCCGCGGAAATTTCGGGGTTTGGGTACGCCAAAAGAGGCAATGAAGGTGGGTTAAATCATGACTAAATGCATTGCCAAGTTTTACCAAAAAAAGTCCAAGTAGTATGTGGAGCCAAATCGTCCAAACCCAAGCTATTCAAAATTTAGGAAAGAGAGAACACCAAAAATAAAAAATGTAGGCCTCTATAGAAAATGGTTCTATGCGAGATTTTCAGCATCTATGTCGTCAATTGAGAGATTCCTCTGTAATTAATTGTAAGATGTAAAGCAAATATTTGAATCTTACTGTCTCTAATTCTGAATCAGTTGTGCATTTCTTTCTTGTATTAGAGAGACGTTCAAGTTGATTGTATGCTGTTTAAGATGGGTCAGTGTGTTTTACTGCCACTTTTTTTTTATGTCCCCAAAAGCGCCGGTGGGGACATATAAAACTATTGCCTGTAGATTGCAGAAGAGTCGTATCTCTATTTCTCTTCTTTTTTTTTTTTCTTTTTTGGAATTATGTGAACTTTCTTGTGGTGCAGTCTTTGACGTCACTGTCTCTCCCCACTTTTGCCCCC